GTATCCAATATCCAATATTATTAGAATATACTGCTGTGGAGGTCCCACCACAGGGGTGGGCAAGAGTTGGGAGAGGAAGTTTGTTTTGTAGTGGATAAGAACATGAACTTAAGGGTAACATGCTCTCCAAATTCAGACTTGCTATGACGCAGTATATCCATGGTAACATGATCCAATAATTGTATTCACTGACTCCCTTTGGTAGACACTGTCAACATCGATTTCTTGCACCATGTATACACGCTTTTTTCTTTCAGCTGGCTCAGTGTAGAGGAAGAATTGTTGGAGACACGTAATATTTTACACGGCGCTCGCTACATCCCGCCTTTATTACTGAGCAGAGTCAGCTTTCATCACTTCTAATCCTCCTGAAATCAAAGAATTAATTTTACACCGGCAGATGCACACCGGTAATTGTATATTTACACCACATCATAGACTTTATGGATTTTCATTCTTGCCTGAATCCTTCCTCCTGCGCAGTGTAATTCCACCCATCATCTTACCCTAATCCCCTCCATATCTCCCTTCAACAACATGGCATTCAATCTTCCTGCACAGACACTGCCGGCAAGTTAACCTGCCTCACCACAGTAATTTCTATCAATTGCGTCTTCATTGACAGCCGTTCTGCCAAGCACTTGGCCCTGGTTTATTAGACCCTTTGATGTTCAGAATTAATTTCTGTCATCCTATATCAAATATCTACTATCAGCTGCTTGCAGTGCTCTTCCACATTGTGCTCTTGCAATGAAATATGCCTTTGGATAATAGTTTTCTTGTTGTATTGTTACACAGTAAACATGATGAAAGCATATTTCATCACCCTGAACATCATTTCCTAACATGTACTCAAATTTTCACTTGGATGCTCTCACCTTTAGGAAATGCGCAACAACAACTCAGCATTGCTACCCAGGAAAACATAATTCTGATTGAGCATAATCCAGGAGACAATTTGACACAAGTTTGAAGACTTACTTCTCTAAAGAGAGCTCCATAGAACTCTACTGTGCAAGGGTGGTCTGAGCTGCGCATGGAGATGTCCAGGTCCATCAGCAACCGTTTCTGTTCTTTACTGTTGACTGAGACAGGAATCCTCTGGAGGGAGGAAACAAACACACAAAAGTATCCACCGAAGTCAGTCAAGGTGTTCAAACATACCCTATCATAGTGGCAATTAGGGGTGGGTACCGGTTCAGTCGGACCGGTTTGGACCAGAACAACATTCAAGAACCGAGTCCAAAAAACCGAAACGTGAAAACCGGATGACCGGACCTGATGTACATTTCTGTAGATTGTACACACAACACACACATCTTTAGATAATCTGGCCATGGCAGGTAAAAAAAAATAACCCTGAATCATACTAGATCAGCCTAAATCCATGTTTATGCGTTCAAAAACAAGAAAAAAAATGTTTCCCGGTATTAATCTCTTGAAACACGGCGCTGAATATTGACGCAAAAACATTTCGTGCACGGCGAGCCCTCCCCCTTGTTCAGACTGTGACGCAATCCCGCGTCACGTGTCGGCATTTCGCATCTCTGATTGGTTGTTGCGCCCGCTGCTGGCAGCGTAGCGGCAGACTTGAGCGAGCCGACGCGCGTGTAAACAACTTTTCTTTGTTCGATATCGGCGCTAAAATGCTATTTTCCACAACCACACATCGATATTCTAGTGAAGAAATGCATAGTTTCAAGAATCTTTGGGGAAAATATATGCTTCTATACGGATTTTTAGCGTTTTCGACGTGATTTTGTCGTCACTTAACCCGGAAGTGTGGATCGCGGCGTGGCTAAATTTTTAGCGTATAACCCTGCGTTTTACCAATCAAAACAATAAACAACCCTCGCTAAGAGAACCCTGTAACATTTTAGATCGCAGCAATTAAGTATTTGATCAAATTATCTGTGGATGTGTTGGCATTTCAGCCGTATTATTCATTGGGAAAAGCGGCCTCATGCACGGCCGTGTTGTGTACACCAAGAAATTGTGTCTCGCTTGCCAAAATATGATATACTATACTACTGTACAATAATCAGGTCCGGTTTCAGGTCCGGACCTGGACCTGATCCTCTGAACCTGATCCGGACCTGGACCTGAATTTTCTATACCGGTACCCACCCCTAGTGGCAATATTACAGTTCTTTGATTCTGTATTTAATTTAATCTCCTCAAGTTAGAAATTAGGAAACAAGGAAACAAGGAGGTTGGCATTACAATAATAAATTCAGCCACATATTTGTATTGTACTGTACACTGTACTGCCTGGCAATATCTTTATTCAGAATTTCGGTCATGGATTAGAGTCCAAATATAAAAGATCTAAGAACTAGCCCTCCAGACTGAACGGGTAAATGCACTTACATGTGGAATCCTGCTCTATATGTAAACTTCTATTTTCATCAGATCCTGTGAACAGGATATGCTCCTGGGCAAAACAACCTTTGTTATAGCTGTATTGAAGTGTTGCTGCAACCTTTTTCCATCCATCACAACATAGTAAGCCTAAAACTTCACACTAGAATGACTGTCAATGACTCGCTACAAAGACATGTAGTACATTACAACTTATTTTCATGACTTTTCGAACAGTTTGAAAAATCCTGTCCTCGTCTGACCTTTACAGCCATGACTGTATTGCTGGACTCGTGCCTCATCTTCTCCACGATGCCGTACGCCCCCCTCCCCAGCTCACAGATGGGCTTCAGGTCATCTGCATTGCACGTAAACTCCTGAAGCAGGGATCAACACGACACAAATGTCACATCACAGATGAGCAGGATTGGCTCTTCATGTCACAAATAGGGAGAATAGAAATCTGTGTTACCTGGATAGAATACAGATGGGGTTGAAAAGTAACTGGTTCTACCATATATCTTTCATAAAGTACAAGTACATGTACACCACTTGAGGCAGTGACTGATGAGGGACCAGTGATCGCTGTACAGTCACTTGGTGACTGTCGTATGGTGGAAAGGGGGCCTAATGTCAGTCAGACAGATGCATTTATCATGAACTCTGCAGTGTCACAGGTTAAGAAAGGCTAAATCCACCTGCAGCCTGAACCGATTGTACATTAATCATCTTGTAGAGGGAAAAGGGACAAATACAGTGCTGCAAAGTGTATCAGGTGGTTCAAGCCAGATACAAATTAATGTAATATACTAGCCCTTCCTTTCATCTTAATGACAACCTAACAGGCTTTTTTCCTCTGTCCCACATTGATTTAATTCATCAGAGGAAGGTAAAACAGATGCAATGCAATGAATTTTCATAGTGATCTGATTTTGTATTATGAATTGAGTAGACAAGTAGAGTTAGATTCACAGGATTTTTGTGGTTATTTGTGCTCATCCAGTGATTAGTGTATGGTAGAAATAGATTTTATGGAGGAGATTTCCTGTCAAGCCCACCGGAACTGGAGCATCTCCACTACACCCCTGGGGATATATGATTGACATTTTGGGTTCAGCTATTATAGTTTTGGTGCAGACAGGTAAGCTTGCAAACTGCTACTGTAGACATTACTGTCACAACTGAAATATTGGCTGCAACAGAATAGGCAAAACAAGTGGCCATACAACACATTAGGATCTGGTCTGGGGTTTTAGCTAACTAAAACAGGAAAAGCACAACTCACAGCTAGAATGTACTTGTCCAAGATACAAAAATAAAGATAAAGACTGCAGCATGGGGAGAATTCACCAAGACAAATTATATAACTGCAACATCTCAACATCTGACTGTATTGAGTAATTTTACTCTTGTTGGCGCTAATGGGCAGAGACAGACTTTCCAGTTTTTCCATTGTGTGCTTTTCAAAATATTCTTCAAACCATCAGATTTTGTAAACCTAAACAAGTCTAGACCACAACCTACCTTCCCACCAACACTAATGGTTGCAACAGAATCCAGATTTTTTGGTGGCCTGTCAAAAGAACAGAAAAAGCTTAATCGTCGTCATGAAAATAGGATAGAGGCAACCTGTTAAACTGTATGCAAATGCATATTTTCTTTGTTCATTCTGACAAAGTTGGACCACAGAAAATGAAATCAATGGTCAAAGATGGTTTTAACAAGTGATCTTGAACATGCGTTGTGACAAATCATACTAAACAATGAAGATGATATGTGCAGATGTGTAATGTTATATGCTGGGTCTTACTTTGGACTTGGTGGTTGTGGCTCCATCCGGATGGGCTGAAGTCTGGGGGGCCGTCTTCTGCCTGTGGTGTGGGTGAAATCAGGTGAGTCATCTCCCACATCAAAACATAGATATGAAATGCTACAATAGGAAAAGGTAATGATACTTAAGACTATTCCAGGTTGAAAATGTAAGCAAATATTTTGGACCTGCTCAGAAATGCTAGTGATTCACACATCTGCTTTTGGGATAGAAAAATTCATAATAGGACTAGGAGTACAAGGTTAAGGGCAGATTGACACAGTGTACTCAGACAGATTAAGGAGGCTTAGAATTCAAACCTCCTTTGGCAGATATACAATAAAAATACATGTACTGTCACTACATGTATCATGTTTCTTGGCCTTTGGCCTCAAGCTCATAATATCATATCACTCCTATATGTCTTGGCATCTGGCTCATTGTGCCTATAATAAACACGTAACGTTACACAAGTTATTTGAGTTTTTAATATACATGTCATCTCAGTGCTTTGTGCAAGTGTCAGTACAAATTTACTCTTCCCCAACACCTGCAAATAATTAGACAGGACAGTGCACTAACAAGTTATTTTTCAGTTGATTCATGTGATATACAAGCCATGGCATGTATGTAACTCATTGATTTGAAAAGCATGATTCCACAATGTGTTTATATCTCACTGCCAAGATGATTTCATGAGAGCCATTGACACATGCTTGAAAAATGTATTCATGTAATCATTCACTCCACTACACATATACATGGTGCATACATCAAGTCATTTACAGTTTGAGAGATATTACATCAGCTCTGAATCTATTCACTTGGCGCAGTTTTAAAATCGGATTATACTCATAGCTTATCATATTATACTATCATTTCATGAGGATCTTGTGCAAAACATGTATTGTTCTGCATTCTATCAACCAGCATTTCCAGCTACCTGGCCTGGCCTAGAAGGCTGTCCTCAACCCATTACCAGTAAGGCCACACCTACTTAATTTTATGGATGACATCCGCGTGGATTGATCTCCACCTCCACAAAAAAGATCACGTCCACCGAGGCTCTGGCCTGGCTCTGGGCCTGGGTAGTCCATGGTAGTTACCGGTAGTGACAATACGGAGCCGGGCACCCAGGCTACCGAAGCTCCACCACGCAAGAACTCAGTACATACGTCCAGTGCCGATTCATAAATTCCGCAAAAAGCCAGCATGTGCCGGCTTGTCATATACGTCACTTATTATTAGATATGTACTACCACAAATTCACAACACCAGCTTTGTATTCCTGTGGTTTAGTAGCATTTTTAGTTTTGGCCGTAATTTTTTTTTATTCCCCCGCACGCACTAGTTTGGGGGTCTTCAGAGGATGTCATCCGTAAAATGAAGTCGGTGTGGCCTAATTGTAGTTGTAATGGGACATTGATAACAACCACCATTTCCTGTGAGCCTGGTTTTGTGCTGTAACCTTTTATATACAGGCAGTTGTTACACCTGATGACCAACTCATGATAAAGAACATCATGAATGTGGCATGACATACATGAGTTTGGGATGGGGAGGGGGTTCCTATTAAAGTATCTACTTTTATGTCATACCTGGGCCGCGATAACGTTTGATACAGGTGTTCCAACCACACGGGCTTACAAATGTTCCATAGAATAATTTGAACGCATTTATCGTGCACTTTCGAAACTTTGAACACCGAATTCAGATGTTGGAATTGACCCGTTACACTTTTTGTTTAGATACACCAAATTTTGTCACATTTTGCATTGAAATGTCTGCTTTTTTGGATCCAGTACATCAGGAACAATTTCGCCATATTAAAAAAGAGACAGCACGTGACCTCAAGCGCGCCAGGGGCAAGTACATCCACAGTTCTATCAAAGAGGGACTAGAAGAAGGGAGCCAGAAACCCTTCTGGAAGTTTATCAAAGCCCAACGTCAAGACTTTATTGGTGTTCCACCCCTTAAGCATAATGGAAACTTGTTTTCAAATGCCAAAGACAAAGCCTACATCTTGCTTCAAGAGTTCAAGTCTGTGTTCGTATTAGAGGACTTGAGCTGTGTCCCTTGGTTGGGCCCTTCACACCCACCAATCTCGGATCTTACAGTGCATCCGGCCGGTGTACGCAAACTCCTGAATGCCATCAAGCCACACAAGGCATCCGGCCCGGACAAGATCCCAAATCGCGTCCTCAAGGAGCTGGCTGGCGAGTTGTCTCCTGTACTCGCAGCACTCTTCAACCAGTCGCTGCAACATGGATGTGTACCCGAAGACTGGACCAAGGCCATGGTAACACCTGTCTTCAAGAAGGGTGGAGTACACGATCCAGGCAACTACAGGCCAGTATCTCTGACTTGTGTAATTTCTAAACTCATGGAACATGTCCTGTGCAGACACATTCTGAACCATCTTGAAAAATACAATCTTCTCACAACGTTTCAGCATGGATTTCGCAAAGCTCATTCTTGTGAAACCCAACTGCTTCTCACCGTTGACGACCTTGTGTCAGCACACGACAACAAGTTGCAAGTAGACATGGGTATCCTCGATTTCAGCCGTGCTTTTGACACGGTGCCGCACGAACGATTAGTCAGTAAACTTGCACATTACGGCATCAGAGGTCCCATCCTGGACTGGATAAGAGTCCTTTCTTCAGAACAGGTCTATGTGGGTCGTTGTGGACGGTGAGTGCTCGCCATCAACATGTGTCCTCTCCGGAGTTCCCCAGGGAACAGTTCTCGGGCCACTCCTGTTCCTTATTTACATCAATGACTTGCCGTCCCGTCTATCACCCGGGACCACGGCTAGGCTTTTCGCCGATGATTGCCTTATCTACAGGGAGATTCGCGGTCAAGGCGACCAAGTCATCTTACAGAAGGACTTAATCGCACTGCAAGATTGGGCAGCAACCTGGGGCATGAAATTCAACCCCAAGAAATGCAACACCATGTCCATCACACGGAACAAGAACCCTTTTACTTGGATGTACGAGATGTGTGGCGAGTTTATCCACCAAACAGAGCAGGCCAATTATCTTGGCATCACTATCAGCAACGACTTGAAATGGTCAACACATATCAGCACTGCTGTAACACGTGCCAACCACACACTTCATTTTCTCAGCCGTAACCTTCGCTACTGCCCCCGTCAAGTCCGTGAGACCGCATATTTCAGTCTCGTTCGCTCTACTATAGAGTATGGTGCAGTTATCTGGGATCCTTATCTGAGAAAGGATATTGACACACTTGAAATGGTCAACCGACGTGCTGCTCGCTTTGTGACCAGTAACCACCGTCGTCAGGATGTCAGCGTCACAGCCCTCCTGCATGACCTGAGATGGCCGTCACTTCAGTCTCGACGACAGCAAGCACGACTAGTAATGATGTATAAGATAACCAATGGTCTCGTGGCTATCCCATCCAGTCGGCTTATCCCGGCAGTTGCTCGCACCCGTGCCAACCACGCCCACAAGTACAAGACTCTGAGACCACACTGTGACATTGCAAAATACTCATTCTATGCTAGGACAATTCCTGAATGGAATAACCTTTCTGCTGACGTAGCTGAGAGTCCATCATTACAAACTTTTAAGAATCGTTTATCGTCACTTCCGTAATCATGTGTATATCTCCCCTCTGCGCGATGTCCCTGTATGTAGGGAATTTGCAGAGTAGTAGCTAGAACTAGAACTAGAACTAGGGTATGACATATATAAATGAAATACAACATGGTGTATTCCGCATCACCCTCAGTCCCAGCACCTTCCTGCATATCAAATTGCCCTCCGGCCGTTGGGCAATACACTGTGTAGTATTCTATACTTATCCTCCCAGATCCCAAACCCAAATCCTTACCCATAGATGCTTACAGTTGTCTTCAAACATTGTCAAAATGACATTTGAGGCTGCCAATTGCCAGTATTTAGAAATGTATCTCTAGCTGAAAATGTACACTGTAACAATCTGAAAATGAAGACTGACAAACCTATAGGTATACATATGTTTTGCTTTGAATCTACGTTGCATATTCATGCCTGTGGCTAATTGCAATTCAGTAAATTCAGCCTTAGATATACCAGTAAAACCTGTATCCAACAATGACTGGCACTGACCTAAACTGGTATTGTTCATGTACCTGGTAAATTTATCAGTAGGAAAAAAGTCATACATCAACTCTGGCAAGATGTGGGCAGGTAATATGTCTTATCACAGCCTTCCAGACTCATCTGAATTTTGAAGTCATCAAAGTTTGATGAAATGTCTGAGCTAAACCAGAACTTATAGAAGACTGATTGATTAGCCCAGGGAGATCTTGACAGGGACAAATTCATTTGCAGACAGATACCAACAGAAAACAAATGATGTACCTGTGCAACTGTGATAAGACTTTTTTTTTAAACCTCAACGTGGGCAGTGTTATGATCTAGCCTGGGTACCATCCGTATATGTTATGCTGCTCCACTGGATTTTTTAGCTGAGCGCCATAACAAATACGGATGGAACCGGCGTTATCACCAACATGTATCGGGAACTGTGTGAAGGGCAGAAAAGAATGAAACTTGTGGAAGTGAAATTGATTTTCTTTATGGGTTGGATCCAATTGCAAACTTTACAGTTAAAAGATTCTTGGTTGGTTAGTGAAGTATAATGCATTGTATCAACAAGTATGCTTCTATGACCTGCAGGCTGCAGCAGTGCTGGGTACTGGCATGAATAAAAAAAAAAAGAGGAATCAGATCACAACGTCTACAGGATGAACACTTAAGTATTTAGCTTTGGCATTATTATAGCAATCAAATAATGATCATTCAACAATAATCAACAATATACTTTCACAACAAAACATCAAGATCAACATTTGAGAAAATGTGTAACAAGAGTTCAGTGACATTTGTCTGGGTCAAAACGCCACAAATGACATTTCACACAATCAGTATACATTACATGGATAGGTATCACAGTTTGTCGTATAAATCTTCTACAGTTTGACGATTTTCATCAATTATGTCTGCCACAAAAATTCAAAATTTATAAATATCCGGGTGCCCCCCTCCCCCGATCAATGGATCACATCTAAAACTGAACCATTACCTATATTCCTACACGCACAATCATTAAAGATCTCCTCAAGACATCATTATGAGTCAAAGATCGCGTCATCCATGGGTTTGTTGGGAAAACGAGCTTTAGTTTTGAATCTACAGACGATCATCGAGGCGACCACCGCCCCCCTCCCCCTCGTCAAGCAAAATAATTTTTGTTACCTGCCATTCTGACGGCCCTTGGAAACCACCAGAAAACAACTATCAGTTCTTGGAGGTACTTGACAGGACCGACTACTATGGAGAAACCTTTCTTTCCTCAAAACGAACTGTTAAGTCGTGTTGTTGACAAACTTCAAGCAGTTTTACGGGAACTACCAGTATAATAGTGACCCCGTCCCTTCACGGGAGTTCTGACGTCATCGCTCGGAAGGGCTCGGTAACATTCGGCACAGGTCGGATGATTCATAGTCCGGTGTTTCGGAAACACTGTGAGCTGATCTGAGATATTTCCTCGCTTTGAGTATCTGATAGCGACTGATTAACCAATGACTGCTACTTTACAGGACCTGCAGATTGGAACGCACTGAATCCGCAAATTTGATATCGAAATCCGGAAACGCCCCGGACTTTACCGAACATTAACGAGGTTGGTGTCAAGTTACGGACACCTAAATATCTACCAGGTATACCGAAAGGCGGCAGATTTGAAAGGATGGTGTATGTTTGTGCATTCCGTGCGTGGGACGGACTTTACGTCAGTTATGTTCCGTCGCTAGAAAGATTTTCATTTCTCTATACCGAGTGCTTTAAATCCAGTGGTGTACAAAATAAATTGAATTGAAATGAGTTCTCGCCTTCTCGGTAGACAATGCCATCCGCCCTTAAGGAATGGGCGTTGATATATCTATCGTTACTGACAATCGCTAACCTCTTATGACCTTGCAATTTGAGTCATCTTAGCTTCATTTAAGATACGCGCTGTACCTAGGTTGGTTTTCTTTTTTTTTGCAAGTTGCTTTTTCTTTTAGGTGGAAGTGAATTATCTGTTGTTTATACAACGTTACCACCACCGCCATGTTCTGATTATGACTATCCATTTTGATTTAGTTACAAGTCATTATCGGACGATTCATCCTCCAGACGTCTTCTATATAGGATTGGAATAAATAAGCACAAAAACGGCTACACTTAGATTGGCGATGTCAAATTTAACGTTCATTTTTAATTGATACCAAGGCATCGATATCTCAACAACCTGTGACACACATCATCCAAATGGTAGTATTGCATTCGCACTCGATGACTTGAAAGCGTGAAATGATGTAGTGAACTACAGAAGAGTGACCCTTGAATCCAGGCCCATTAGGAGTAATCATCCGGCTGTGAAACCTTACATACGTTTTAGTCAAATTCCCTGGATATGTTTCTGACGTCAGCATTCAGGGTCATACAGGTTGACTGGTCGATCTAAAGTGAATTTCAAGTGCCCAAACTCCATTTACGGTAGAAGCGATATAATGTATCACTCTATCTTATCTTATTTTATTTTGTAGGGTGGTGATTCAATATCCCATGGAGCTGATTCCTCCATACGTTCATGCGGAACAAAGCCGCTCCAGGACGCAGATTTTTGTATTTTACCTTTATAGTCTGAAACATTTAACTCCCATTGTTCAACGTTAGCTTCTTCGACAGGGACCATAAATCATAAGAGTAGGTGCTTTTTACATCAAGTAAACCATCCATCTTTTTTAATGCCTGCAGAGCCTAGCTGGAGTTCTTCGGCCTTCTCTCCAAGCGCTCGGGATAGTCAAATTATGAGTGATTGATCACATTCGGATTGCCGTTTGGGCAACCTCATCAAACTGGAGCTTGTGTAATTATCTGTACGCCGTGTTTTGGTCGCGCGGAGTACCTCTGCTACTAAGTCTCTACAAGACTCCATGGGGGAGCATGGAACTCTCCAGATAGCCTCCACCAGACTCCTTTTGCAGGCTGAATAAATAGTAGAAATCGCCCTAAGAAGGGATATAATTGGCCAGAGAAGGTAGTCGGCCATTTTGCGTGCAGGCAAAATGGAGCCTCCCTGGCCGACTACCTTCTCTGCTCAATTGTATCGTTTTCAGGGCGATTTCTACGATTTATTCAGCCTCAAAAGGAGTCTGATGGAGACTACTCTCCAGAGGCCGAGAGCTGAGCGCGAGTATCCTGGTGTCTCCGTTACTGACTGTACCCAGGGTACATAGTAAGTAACGGAGATAACTTGTGTATGCACTGGTTTCTAATCAGTCTGTAACCTAGTTTGCAATAGGACAAATTGAAATGACACAACTAAACAACAGTCCCACCATACAAGTTGGCACTTACATCTTCTGTATATTGTCAATAACATCATGAAAGACAGAGACGATAGGAGATGATGATACCATCAAGGCCCCATGTCAACAATACAAACGACGTACATCCTCACCTTATGGATACTTAATAAAACTTTGTCCACTCACACATGTGCCAATTTATGCTGTAGGTCGTGCAAATGAGAAAAAGAACGGCTAGAAGTTGTCCGAGTGGAGGTGCAAGTGCTGCAACAGTGCACCGTCGACCGACACAGATTCACCGTATCAAAACTGTACTGATAAGCTATCACAATGCGGCATTCACTCATATAGACGAAAGCTACAGTATAATCTTACGCACAATAAGTAGCAAATATACAATCTGTGTCTACTATCGACTACAACAAGAAAAGTTTCTGTTTAGATACTTCGGCTATGTTTCTCTATGGAACTGAAATTATATTTCTCTCAGTGCAACTGACATTATCTTGTACTTTAACTTAATTCCAGGAAACAACACAGAATCAAAGACTATTTCTGGCACTATTATCAGATTATTCTGTACATGATAACGTGACCATGATCCCTAAGATCTAATTGAACATTTAGAAAGAGAAGCAACTTATGTCATCTAATAGCATTTCCTGACCAATTGATAATGATATACGGAAACAAAGGTACTTTATGCACACAGAGAATGATGAACCAATAACATAAAAGCCACGGGACTAGCGTCGTATTACTGTCAAAAGGAAGTCACAGTTCATTAGTTGTTGTTTCTTCTTCTGAAGATCTTCTGGAAGGCCTTCTGGAAGTCCTTGTTGACGAAGCCGTAGAGGACGGGGTTCATGGCGGAGTTGGCGTACCCCAGCCAGGTGATGACGCTCCTGGTCAGGTTGGAGATGTCGCAGCTGGCGCAGAACGGCTCGATCAGGGCCACCAGGAAGAACGGCAGCCAGCACACGATGAACACGCCGGTGATGATGCCCAGCGTCTTGGCGGCTCGCCGCTCCTTGGAGAAGACGATCTTCTTCTTGAGGTTCTGCGCGCTGTTGAAGCCGTCGGAGGCGCGCTCCATCACGGCGATGCCTTCTGACACGGTGGCCACGCAGGGTGCCTTGGAGAACCGCTCCTCGTAGGCTGCTCCCTTCTGAAAGTCAATGACAAAAACCTCAGTCATTACTACTTACGCATCAATATCCAACCTAACGTTTTGGTTTACTACTTTCATTCAAGTATTTAATTGATAACAGACAATATTGGCGGTGTTGACTGTTTTACCACAGTGCTTCAGGTTTCATTTTTCTTTGCTGCATATTGCTCATCTGACCTTACAAATGCCAATAATGAGATCATGGTCATTCTATTATTCGGTACACACCGAAGAGGTCGCCTTTGACGAGTACACCTCCATCGAAGCAAATTTGTCAGAAGATCCGCCCGCCTGCGGCTCGGGTGTGGTCGCCGTTGTGGTGGTGGAGTGGTGTGGGCTGTGGCCAGCGGGCTGGACGGAGATGACCTTGACGTTGATGTCTGCTCGGTCCTGGCCGTTCTCCTGACGTCGGTTCTGGCGCGGAGGAGCAGTGGGGCGTGATTCGGCGGCGGTGTCATCATCCGAGGGCCGGGGCTTGTTCCGTCTGGCCGGCGGGACCTGAGCACCGACCCGCACCCGGATCCGCCGCTGGGCCGCCCGGAAGATCTTCCAGTACACCACCAGGATGACTGCCGAGGGGACGTAGAAGGCGCCGAAAGTCGAGAAGATGGTGTAGCCATAGTCCTGCATATATGTGAGGCAACGCAAAGGTCATGTCCTGCCTGTCAATGTGCTCAATTTTTGTATGATATATATTGAGCAATAAGGTACGTAAGTACAGAAAGTGTCTCAAGCTTTGGCAGTTTATTAGAGTCAGACATCTCTTATGTTGCCCGGCGTTCATCGGTCTATCATCCACCTGCCGTCTGACACTCTTCTTATGATTTTTAGGAGAAAACATCTATCTACAGAGTCACTAGCCTGACTACATCACGCTCCTAGAGGCCCTTACAAGTTAGATTGGTCAGCCCTCAAGAAGCTTGATTGCCAACACATCTTAATCCTGTTGATTGACGCATAACGTTATATGCTAACACGGACCAATTATTGTCAGACCGGAAGATGTTGGTGGCTGTGTTGACTAGTTTCCATAGTGACAGAAAATCGAGGAGGAGGCCCATTCAGCCCCTGACAGCGAGAGATCCTGTAAGACGGGCTACGGAGCTACAAATAAGGCAATGGAAAACTCACCTGCGATATCCTGCAGACAAGCGGGTCTGCCACGTCCTGCGCCGTGCGCCAGCCGAACAGCGGGGGGACCGAGATGCATAGCGACGCCACCCACACCAGAGCCACCATCACCACAGCACGGCGGGTGGTTCGCTGGTGCATGTACTGCAACAACAAAGAGAATCCTCACATCCAGTCTTGCTAACCTTATTTAGCTATATACCACTTCTAACGGTCGCTGCCCTACCTGATATCGTTGTGTATAACGAAAAGAGCTCGATAAGATGAATGATTTCGGATATGATCTAATGAATAACATGTGAGATGGTGTGGCAAGGTCAAATTGTGTATCTTACTATTTAATGTCTGTTCGCGGATTTCATATTCATGTAGATGTTAGTTTTCGCGGATTTCATATTCATGTAGATGTTAGTTTTTGACAATCAAATCATATGTGTATCTGTATAGGCAGTATAACCATCAGCCTTCGGCGTAACACTGGATTCGCAGGCACGCGGTTCTTGGTTGTATCACACTGAATTTTAAACACACCTGCCACACCTAACATGTATGCCTGACTGTTACGTATACATGTACTGAACCAAAGATAACTCAAAGTAATGGAAAATATACCACCTATTGGGACTGTTTGCGCAAAACTTTCAACTAAAGCAAATTCAATCTCCCACCTACGGCTTCTGAGACAACGGGCAGGAGTTGTTATGTATGTTTGGTCACGTAGCCCGCCATAGATCAGCGATGTCTTGTGGAGATAGTGATGACACCCAGTAGCGTTATTACAGCGAAAGCGAACAATTCCCTACCAGGTTTACTGTGATCCGAATGCTAATGCTTTAACGCTTACCGTCTAGAAAACTCATATGTTCAGAAAGATTGGCATGACTTTTACATCATTTTACTAGTACATTCAAATTTGGTAGTCATATTTACTTCACTAATTTCCATCTGTTGTAGAATCACTCTAAAGGAATTATCAATTTCCTGCCTGCCAAACTACCAAGCAAATGCTGTGTTGTTACTCCGTGAAGGAGGTCAGGACCTCCGGACGGAGTGTTGTAATCGGCTGATTTTTCATGTTCGCAGTCAAAACACTGGGTTCTCTTCGTGTAATCGGCACGCAATTTTATACGCCGTCTGCGGGCATGCCCGTGTTGATGCACGAATGTGTATTTTTGCCGTTGCTGCTTTCGCGGTCAATGTAATATCGCAGACGCACCCCTACAATTACGAGGCGAATTGGAACGGTCCAGAAAAACGCGTTGTTTGGAATAGCGGGGGGGGAGGTAAAAGTTCATGCAGATACGGGGTGGTTTTTATAAGTGGTTCCAGATGTTTTTGCCCATGGTTAAGAGATGCCAAGTTTTTTGGAAGATGTTCGCAGCCAAAACGCATTCTGCCGTACGTCGCATATCTGTGTAATTTCGCATGTGGTGTTGCATTATGTCCGGGATGATGCACGTCTTTTATTTTTACCGTAGCTGTTTTGATATTGGAGTAAATGGTTATTTTCGAAACATCCCTACTTTTACAATCCTGTGGAATAGACCGTAGGTTTAGGCAGTTGTCTGGTAGCAGAGGTACTGTAAGCAGATATCCTGGTTATCTGGCCGGCGGTAGTAACACTCGCGGTGCTTACCGCCACTGTTGCTGGAATTTGGCTTGTTCCAGGCACGCTTAAATTAGGTACAGGCACCGTAGACGGTGGGCTGTCTTTGTTACTAGACACGACCATGATAGTCCGATCTTTATGTGAATGCAATGATTGTGTGTGTGTAATTAAAATGAAGTTAGAAACTTGAAGCACAGTATCTTTACACGCCCTGGGAGCAGTAATGGATTTAGCTCTTTGTATGTTTTATGCGTTGTGACGCGCCCTCATTGTATTAACCCACGCTCCTCCGCAGCGTCCGCTAGCGCGCTATAATTAAATCCACATCTGGGCGCGCGGCGGGGTCCCCAGAGCAACACAGTGCGGAAGCATTAGCGTGTATTTGTGTCCTGGGGCCGAGAACGCATTTTGCGCAAAGCATGCTGGGTAGCAGAGTGAACTGTCCTGGGGACGAGAGTTTGTGGCGCGGGCGGAGAATGCCAAAACTCCCTCCGTGGCTAAGTTCCTTCCGCGACTAACTCCCTTCTGGTCAAATGTAGAGGGATAACGGTACACCCGTCATAGCGTCACCAAAT